CCCAGCAGCTGTGCAGTGCTGGCGGCATGCCTGGCAGTCAGTGACAGACACGTTGAAACTTGTTCTGTTCCAGGCTTTATAGGTTGCTTTCCTAGCAGCTGTATTACACTTCAGAGATGCTTTGACGCTTGCTCAAACATCTTTTGATCTATGTGCTTAACAATGTAGCTTATCACATACCACGTGTAGATGCCTTTGTTTTCTGGGCTTTCCAGGTATGTTTTTATAGTTGTGACACTAAGAACTACTATGCCCAAGAATCTGGCGTCTGCTTACACGTTCTCAATGCCAGGCTTTCAAAAGGTTAAGTCTTAGTTGGAGGCTGTGTATCATAATGATTAAAACTTTACTCTGAGAGCGTCTCTCTCTCTGGGAAGCATTCATGTTAGAATTGGTTAGCGTGCTCTAGAACATCCCACACTGCTTTTTTTTTTTCCTCTCTGACTTGAGACAGAAAATTAATTAAAAAATGTGTGTGATTTGTGATGTTCAGATTACAGAAGTCCAAAATTAATCATTTGCTCAGTAATATTGGTCTGTTTAAAAAAAAAAACAACCCAAACCCCAAGAAACGTGTGACAGATACTGGCATTACTGCACTAAGCAGTAATAGTGAATCTGTTCTCCTGAGGAGCGAGGCGGGAACCCACAGCCATTTTCATACGCTGGAGTTGCAACAGTTAAGTAGGATTAAAAAGAAGGAGAAAGAAGAGTCGATGATTGTAAAGGTTTAGTCTCTCAAACAAATATTTACGTCAGATACCGCCCTTTCCAGACACTGTTAAAGCAATTCACCCCCAAGGCCACAGCACCATATAGGGGGGACAGGCAGAGCTGGGTGTGTGTAATCTTTGACAGACTTCACCTGCTGACTCCTGCGGTCAGCTGATCATCTCCGGAGCGCGGCCTGTTTGTAACGTTGGGTTTGGGTTTATATGACCAAGTTTGGATGACCTGTTCCATGGCCCCTTCCCTCCAACTGATACACCCAAGGCCAGGCCCGCTGGGAAGGGGATGGGGAGCTGCCTGGTCTCCTGCGGGATGCAGGCCACATCCTCCTGGGAGAAAGAAATGCCAGCTGCCATGGGACATTTTAAAAGCAACCCCTCCCCAGGTGCGCTCTGCTAAGGCAGTTCCCTGTTCATTGCTTCCAGGCTCTGTACGATCATTTAATGGATTTCCTGGCCGATCGAGGAGTGGACAACACGTTTGCTGATGAGTTAATAGAGCTCAGCACTGCACTGGAGCACCAGGAGTACATTAAATTCCTTGAAGACCTTAAAAGCTTTGTCAAATGTCAGTAGGTTAGGCTGGGAAGCTTCAAGCGTGGGTATTCCACAGCACTGCTCAGCCAGCAATACCCAAATATATCTTCACAACAGATACAGAGAGTAAGTAACTTTAAATTTGGAGGTGAACATCATGGGAGAATGAGGATTCTCGCTTGTATTTGGGGATTTGTATTTATGTTGCAGCCCAGATCAAGTTCTCTAATGTTGTGGTCCAGAATTGCCTTGCCCTACTTGGTGGGTTTTGTACAATTAAGAATGAATGTGAAGAATAAAATCTGTTCAACATATCACTGAAAACTGGTGGTTTTTCTTCTTCTGCTGTACCATTGCTGACCAGAAACCTGCCAGAGAAGTGATGCTAGTGTTTGTGCCCGAGCCAGTGTTAGTACAGCTGCCTGCAGGGCTGTTGCTGCAGCGATGGTGTGTGCTGGCCCGGAGTTTTCTCCAGGGAGAGCTATTCCAGCACCACCAAGCACGCGGTGTGCCCTTCCGTCAGCATGGTTGCGTCTGTAGGAGGAAGTTTGCTGGCCAAGCAGTGCTATTATGAATGTGAATCTCCTTCTGGAAGTCTTGGCTGGCTGGCTGGGTGTTAGGGAGTAGAATTCAGAATCCTAAACATTGTGTTTGAGGAGCTGTTTTAAAAAGGGATGTGCTGCCATAACCTATTATATTAGTATTGAATAGTATGAAAAGTATGAAAAGGACCTGGGGGTGCTGGTCGACAGCCGGCTGAACACGAGCCGGCAGTGTGCCCAGGCGGCCAAGAAGGCCAACGGCATCCTGGCCTGTATCAGAAATAGTGTGGCCAGCAGGAGCAGGGAAGGGATCGTGCCCCTGTACTCGGCACTGGTGCGGCCGCACCTCGAATACTGTGTTCAGTTTTGGGCGCCTCACTACAAGAAGGATGTTGAGATGTTGGAACGTGTCCAGAGAAGGGCAACGAGGCTGGTGAGGGGTCTGGAGAACAAGCCTTATGAGGAGCGGCTGAGGGAGCTGGGGTTGTTTAGCCTGGAGAAAAGGAGGCTGAGGGGAGACCTCATTGCTCTCTACAACTACCTAAAAGGAGGTTGTAGCAAGGTGGGTGTCGGTCTCTTCTCCCAAGTAACTGGCGAAAGGACGAGAGGAAATGGCCTCAAGTTGCGCCAGGGGAGGTTTAGATTGGATGTAAGGAAAAATTTCTTTACTGAAAGAGTAGTTAAACATTGGAACAGGCTGCCCAGGGAAGTGGTTGAGTCACCATCCCTGGAAGTATTTAAAAGACGGGTAGATGAGGCGCTTAGGGACATGGTTTAGTGGGCATGGGGGTGTTGGGTCGACGGTTGGACTCGATGATCTTAGAGGTCTCTTCCAACCTTAATGATTCTGTGATTCTATTAACGTAGCTGTTTTAGAAAAGTACCGCAGGGAGGCTGTGGCACTTCAGTTCCAGCAGAACGACTGAAAGGCTGTGGATGCTGATGTCAAAGGCCCTGCTGCAGGGCAGCAGCTGCAGGTCATATTAAGTATAAACAGAAGCCAAAGCTGAAGTCCAATGTGAGCTGTGAGATCACTGATGCATTCTTAAAGACAACACAAAGGCTGAAATTAAGTAAGTATATTTATTTCAAAACATATACTGTGCCATCAAAAGTGCGGGTCAAGGCAGTGCTACCGCCCTTTCAAGTATCTTTTTGACACAGCAGTTACAAGTACATACATAAAAACATGCTCTGGGTGGATTTCTAGCCTTGAAGTCCTTCCAGTAAAAAAGCAGCAGCTGAATCAACTTAGAGGAGAATCGTCCAGGAGTCACAGACCTTTACAAAAGGTAAGTTGAACAGAGAAACTATAGCAATGTATAAAGTTAATTATTAATGTTCAAAACGATTTGAAATGCTCTGCTCCTAACACTGTCCTCACCGTGTAGGTACACACAGTGATTTTACCTAAGCAGCAAAGCTAAACACTTGCCAGCTCTAGCTTGAGCCAAAGGGGCAGTATGTGTTTTCTAAGAGGTATGGGCGAGCCTTTTGAGGAGGCTTAAACTGAAGTAATTTTTAAAACTTTTCTTTATGAACCACTTACATGAACAGATGTAAGCACTGTTGTACTCCACACAACACTTGGAAGTTGCTGGCTAAGGTGTGAGAAAGGAAAGGCACTAAGTTTGACAGGTCCTTGAAAGGTTCCCTAATCCAGCAGTTAAGTTGTGTAATTCGGCTCTTCCTTTTACAATTACTGGTGGTCAAAAGTAAAACCATTTCCAAGGAAGTTTGTGGAAAAACCGCAACGCAAATCAACAGACTTGTGGTTTCTGCCCGTGTAATTGGGAAGTGGATCCCAGCAGAGATCCTTCCCAGGAACTTGACATTTAGACTCACCGGACAGCTCATGAGAAGACTGGCTGCTTCTTCCTCCATTCCACTGGTAACTGTGAACTCTGGGTTGTGAAAGCACCTGTCACTGTGCTCCGTTACAGTGTTTTCTAGAAGTGACCGAAGCTTCCCTTCTGTCATACCCTGGGAAAAATAGGGGTAAAAGAAATCGCACGCCGAACTTGCTGCCTCTTTGCAGCAGCAGACTTCAGATGTCACATTTACCGTGTTACTCACAGTGCAGCTTACCTGCGTGCTGATGTATAATCCACACTGGCAAAAAACCAAGTGATTCCGCACAGTCAGGTTATTCCTAGAAGGAACATACAATGAGCGTCATCACAACCACCAGAACAAAGGTACGTTTTAGCAAAAAACCTCTTAGATTTAGGAGATCACTGCTCAGGTTTTTTCATTTTGTGGCAGTTAACACTAACAGCAGCCCGTGTGCCCGCCGCTTTTGCCTGTTTCTAAGCCCAAACTGCTGTAGGGGAGTGAAGAACCTCATTCCAATGCCAAGGGCTTTCTTACTTTCTACACACTGGGCAGATGACCTTGTCGCTGACATCCAAGCCATCAAGCATCGCGTTGAGACATTCTTCATCAAACTGCAGACTTCGCTCGTACTCTTCTATCACCGACTGTTCTGCAACGACACCGCAAAATCCCCTCGCGCATCTGTTATGAACTGAAGACAAAGCAGCACACCCGAAGCTGCTGGGCAGATGGAGGCTGGGGCAGCCACTCGTTTCTGAACTTTTCTTTCTTTGGATCAGATTTCTACACTTGATGAAGTCATTCCTGTTAATCCAGTTTTTCCTACGGCTCAGTCTTTAGCCAGTCTCAAGCGGGTGACTTGCAGCTTTCTAACCAACACTTTAGAAACATTCTGAATTGATTTATACAGGTTCCTACAGCCCCCAAACACCTCAGTCCTGTTTCTCTGGTCTCCTCTCAGCTTCTCACAGACTTCAAAATGCCACTTAAACTCTTAAAACGGTCAAAAAAGGTCTCAATGCATTAGAGGCTACAGAGCTTTCTAAGGAGGCTCTTCCGTATCGCGTAGTCTACAAGAACCAAGGGGTGCAGCCTCAGCTAGTCTGGATTACTAGAAAGTCAGGAATATTGCAAATCAAATAGGAGCCAGAAAACGTGTAAAGAGATTACCTTGCAAGATCAATTCCTGTTGGATCTCTTCCAGTACCGCTAGCTCATCGGGGTCCTCTAGCATCTGAAAGGTGCATCAGTCAGTAATTGTCCCATTCTGGCTACTTTCTCACTTCACCTGACTGAGCTGTCACTGCAACATAAATTCACCCTGCTTACTCTATCTGGCAAATCTCTGTACGTGCAAAAGCATGCGCTGTGGAAAGCAGTCTATGCTATAGCCACCTGTGCGAAGCCAGCCACAATAGAACATGGCCTGTCCAAGAACCTGCTTTTTAAAACACTAAAGTTTTATTCCCCTTCCCAGGAGCGGTCAGCGACAGACCAGCTCTAAAAAACACAGATGAGGAAGCCACCCTCTGCCACGATTCACAGGCAGTTTGCGAAGGAAGCGAGGAAGTTCCCCACTCGTGGGCCCAAAGGCAAGCGCTCCCACAGCACAACACCCCGCCCTCGCTGCGGGAGCAGGGGACCCCG